CTGAAACCAACACTTTATGACTGGATTAGTTTTTTTTTCCCCCCCTCTTCCCCCTATGGCAGAAGGTACTGATTCATAGTGGTTCTGATTCTGCCAGGTTCCAGTAGACTCCCATTAACTTAACCAAGTGTCATTAATTACGTGAGAGACTCATTCTACCAAAATAATCATTTAAAGTTGTGAGTGACAGCACTGTCAGAGTTAATTTTGCCCTGAGTTAGCAATGATGCATTTCCATCAGGCTGGCTTTAGTCAAAACTCCACAATGTTCAGATTTCCACCCAGCTTTCATCCAGAAAAAATATATTGTCTTTCTTTTGTACATATTTTGATGAAGCTTCATTTCTTTTTTTTAATGTAACAAGCTAGCAAGCCAGCAGGGGAGATAGTTACTAAGGTATTTGCAGTGTTGGGTTTTATGACACCTAACCAGAGAGAGGGAGCCAGAATCATGACTGTTAAAAGAGATGCTGTTAGTAGGAGCCTTCAAGTAGTCAAGGTTTGGACAAGTCCTGAGTTGCTTAGAAGTAATTGAGAAGAAATTTCAAGAAGCAGGAAACTGTGGAAGAGTCCAAGAGGAAGGAATCCTCCAAGACTGTTGAAGACATGAGATTATGGAACCCATGTTAAGTTCCAGTAGTGAGCTGTGATTGCTTGGAGAGACTTTTACTAAAGAAAATAATATCAAGTAATTGGACAGCAGCAATTTGCCAAAAATAAATGAATTAAGCCATGAAGCAAGAAACTTCAGACAGAAATAGGATTGATTCTTCACTTAGGCTTGAATGCCTGTAAGGTTATTACTGGGTTAAAATGCATGAAATTTTCTCTCTGATAATTGGAATGACTTTATTCCAGTAGCTCTTATATGTTGTGATGTAGTTTGTGCTTTGTTTTGTTTGACAAACGGTTGTGTTCTTTTGTTTAAAAGTAAAGAATATTGGCAGTTTCTTGTGAATTTATCAAGCGACTGATCTCCATAGTAAACAAAAAGAAACCAAATAACATTTATGGTCTGTCAAGCTAGGTCTCACTCCAGGATCTTATTTGTCCAGTATTACCATTATTATCACATATGAGGATGTGACATGCAGTGACAATGTCACTGACTTGTAACCCAGAGCCCAAGTCTAATTTCCTGAGAACATAGGTTTGAATACCACCATGGCAGTTAAAATATGTAAGTGTAAAAGCTAGCCCTAATAGTGATCATGTAACTACTGTTGATTATCATTAAAAACCCATCTGGTTGACTAATATTCTTTAGTGAAGGAAATCTGCCATCCTTATCTAGTCTGACCTGCATGGGACTCTAGACCCACGGCAATACAGTCGACTCTTAACTGTTTATGCAATTAGGGATGGATAATAAATGCTGGCCCAGCCAATGACACCCGGATCCCATGAATGAATTTAATAAAGTTATAATGTAGGCAATCATTGAGGGGAGGCGATGGTCTGGTGGTATTATCGCTAGACTATTAATCCAGAAGCCCAGCTAAAGCTCTGGAGACCTGCGTTCAAATCCTGCCACATTCAATAATAAACTGGAATTAAGAATCTATTGATGAACATGAGACCATTGTTGATTGTCAGAAAAACCCATCTGGCTCACTAATGTCCTTTAGGGAAGGAAACTGACATCCTTACTTGGTCTGGTCTACATGTGACTCCAGACCCACAACAATGTGGTTGACTCTCGACTGCCTTCTGAAATGGCCTAACAAGTCACTCAGTTCAGAGGCAACTAGGGACAGGTGATAAATGCTGACAGCCAGCAATACCCATGTCCCACTTGTGAAGAGAAAAAAAATTCTGTCCAGGCTTCTATGGAAAGCTAGTTTCACATCTGAAGCTAGTTAAAGTTAGTAAGCTAACTTCGAAGTCTGTGTCTTTTATGAAAATGGAGGTTTCCTTTTGTTGTATGCTATATAAATATCTTGGTATTTGAAATTAATTTTAAAATAATTATCAAATATGAGATGGCGTTGAATGAAAATATTTTTGTGTTAGGCTTGATTTTTGTCTGCGATTTCACTACATTTGGCATTATTTTAGAGCACACTTCTGCTCCAGTAAGTTGTATAACAGAATGGTCATTTGAGATAGAGCATCTGCTACTTCACTAACACTTGCTGGCAACAAGCATAGTTACGAACATGACAGCTTCAGTGTAGCTTTGATGTGAAGTTACCTCTGCTTAATTGTAGAATTCATTTTAATGGTGATGATTTCAATCCAGAAGAAATCAGATGTTTAGAATTTAGTGCAGCGTAACACAACTTTATTTGCAGGTTGAGCATGCTGACAGCTTGATTGGGTAAATGGAATGGGATAATTGGAAACGAAAAATTAACTGTCAGAGTAACTGCAGGGGACTGTTGATTGTATGTCAGTGTAGAAGAATCTCTTCACTGTAATAAATAGACAAAATTTCACATTAGTCATGAACGCTTTGCTTGATCACTAACAGCTAGATATGTATGCCCGATCCCTGGATAAATTTTGAGCCAGAATTTACTTTTGCGTTTCATAAGTAGCAGTTCTTAGTTTTAGTTGCAGTAGGGTCAGTGTAAGTCTTTATGAAGCATATTCCCCTGTATAAGAATGTGGCCAGCTTGGTAAGAAGTAGCCAATCGTTACATTTGCAGTTGGCTAGAGTGACTTTTTCCAAATCTTGCTTCTCACACACACTTCCTCCACGACTCTTAGTACCTATCAGTATATTTCACTCTCCTGATGCATGATTTGTCACGATGGTTGTGTTCTACTTTCAATTGACTGATTTGTTTAAAAACAAACCCTACTTCAGTTAAACTTGCTGAGGAGTTAACATCATCTATTCTAATATCAGTAATTCTACATTAATATGGTAGATGACTATATTGTGTGTGATTATCAGAAATCTGATTACACAACAAACATGAGATGTGAGGCCAGACTGAGTAAACCTCCAAGTTTTTGCAATTCCACAGGAAAATATGTTTAATATTTAGACATGTAAGAATTAGCAATCCAACGCCAAAATGACTGAATCAAAAAATCAGTATTCTACATTGTAACAAACTTTCCTTTCTTTTCTATGTTTATTTCCAAAATTTTAATCTTTTCATCCAACTTCTTCATGCTGTCCTACGTTATGTTTACCTGTCATTCTTGACATTTGGTTTTGTTCAGTCTGGTTCACTCACCTCCAGACCTCACAGCCTTCATTCAAACATGGACATGTTATGACACACTGATAGCAAGCCAGACCAAATCAGACTTGCTAATATCAGATACATCAACACAGTGAAATTAAAACATTCAATGACTCTCAAAGTTGCCCAATTGTTCCTAACCTGACTTTAAGAATAATACGTCAGACTCATACATTTATAACATAAGCAGGATTTACAATTTATTATTAATACTGTAACTTTAGCAGGGCAAAACTAAATAACAAGGTAACCTACTTAATGGAGGAGGTGATGGCCCAGTGACATTATCATTAGACTATTAAAGAGACGCAGGTAATGTTCTGGCACGTTCACATCTCGCCATGGCAAATGGTGGAATTTGAATTCAATAAGAATCTGAGATTGAATTTAATTGTGAGCACGAAACCTTTGCTGCTTGTTAGAAAAACCCACCTGGTTCTGCCACCTAGACCCACAGCAATGTGGTTGACTCTCAGCTGCTGTCTGGGCCAAATTAGGGATGGGCAATAAATACTGATCTGGCCGGTGATGTCCACGCCCCCTGAATAAATAAAAAAAAGTTTGAGATTTAAACGTAATTTTCTTTGATCAGAATCCCCACTCTCACACACAGACTAATAGACAGACACAGTTAAGAGATAAATGAAAGAAAATGAAAGAATTGTAATTTTCAAGCCCGATAACCATTTCAACAATAAGTATAGGTCTTTATGGAATCCTTGAATAATGCATTGTATTACAGACATGTGGGATTGTATCTTGCTTGAATTCTGAAGTCACCGGTCAATGCAAATAGTTTCCAGCAGTTTCTGAGAAAAAATCACTTATTTCTTATAAACTGGGATTATTTTTTGAGAATATTCAATGAATCTTTAACTGAATATGAAACCAGAGAAGAGTAAAAGTCAAAAACAGCTTCCCCGTCCAGCATTCTGCCCAATTAAATCCCAGTCAGTACCAGTTTAGTCTACGGTTTCTGTTTCTTTTCCAACATACTCTATGATTGGTTGGCCATCACCAGCCTTCCCTTGATTAACTAATGCAACATCCAATCAACAGCTGCCAGCCCTTGAAAATAACACATGGTGTAGTCGTCTTGGAACAGCAAGTACCCTGTAATTGTCTTTCAGGCCAGATCTCATATGCCACCGTAAGTTTGTTTCTGTTCTCTTTTTTTTTTGTTTACAACAAGTTGCTGTCAAAGTACAATTAAAAATAAAGAAAAAATGATGATGGTCTCAACAGAAAAAAGAGCTGTACTTTAGAGGTGAAGTGGGAGAACTGCCCTTGCAAAAAGGCTGCATTTGATCAAGTATGACGTCAATGAGCACTAGCAAAACGAGTCAATACGAATCTGGGAGGTTTTCGGGGAGAAGAGCAGAAACATTCCATTGGTTGGAGTCATAACTGAGCACAATGAAAGATAGTTGTCATCGCTGAAGGTCAACCATCCCAGCTACGGGGCATCACTGAGAGAAAATAGATATCTTCAAATCAAATTGTTCAGAATTGCTATTTCACATCTTTGGACCAGGTGGATTTGAACTCGGACTCTCGGGCCTAGAGGTTTAGAGACTACTGCTGCGCCACAAGAACCCTACTACAAGAGGATAGTGTCCAAGGTTCAACCATCTTCAGTTGTTCCATTAATGATCTTCCAGTGAAAATATCAGAAATGGGGATGTTTATTGATAATTGTGCAGATGTTAAAAACCATTCACAGCTCTTCAGATACTGAAGCAGTCCATTTCTCTGTGCAGCAATACCTGGACAATATCCAAGATTGATCTGATAGGTGACAGGTGGCATTTGTGAGGCTCAAATGTTCTTCACTTTTCACTCTTAGATAGCAGCAGCACTGCTGACTGAGCTTGTCCCATCTTAAAGTACATAGCAGCTGGACTGGTTCTGTGGCAGATGATGAGACAACAAACAGTAGGGAAAAACATGCTTGACCTCATCCTCACTAATCTGCCTGCTGCAGTTGCATCTATCCATGACAGTCTTGGTAAGAGTGACCACCCTACATTCTTTCTGGAGACAAAGTCCTGCCTTCGCAGGAGAGGGCCCTTGATTGTGTTCTGTGATACTGTCACCATGCCAGATGGGGTAGATAAATCTAACGAGTCAAGACTCAGCATCCATGAATCGCTGTGGACTATCAGTAGCAGCAGAACAGTACTCTAACACAATCAGTAACCTTGTGACCTGGCATAATCCCCACTCAACCGTTAACATGAGGCCAGGGGATCAACCCAGGTTCAATGAAGAGTGCAGGAAGGCATGCCAGGAGTAGCACCAGGCATACTTAAACATGTGGTAACTTGGTGAAGGTACAAAGAATGACTACCGGCATGTAAAACACCAAGAGTAGCAAGTGATAGAACTATGTGATTCCACAACCAATGTGTTAGATCTATGTTCTGCAGTCTTGCCACGTCCATTTGTGAAGGGTAGTGCACAATTAAACAACTCACTGGAAGAGGAGGCTCTACACGCAATAACAAGGGACCCTAGGTCATCAGTGTAAAAGGTAAGGCTGAAGCATTTGCAACATTCTTCATACAGAAGTGCCAAGTGGTTGATCCATGATCCATTTTATCCTCCTCTAGACGTCAGCAGTGTCACAGATACCAAGCTTCAGCCAATTCAATTCAATTCACATGATATCTGTAAAATGCTGGAGGAACTAGATACTGCAAAGGCTATGGATCCTGACAATACTTAGCAATAATACTAAAGACTTATGTTCCAGACCTTGCCACACTTTTATAGAAGCTATTCTAGTGCATTTACAGTATCGGCATCTGTCAGACATTGTGGAAAATTACCCAGACATGTACTCCATATGAAAGGGAGCAAGAACAATTACTGCTCTATCATTCCCGTCTTGATCATGAGTAAAATGATGGATGGTGTCATCAACAGTGCTGTCAAACAACACTTGCTTCGCAATAACTTAATGACTAATGCTCAGTTTGGGTTTCTCCAGGGCGATTTGGCTCCTGACTTTATTATAGCCTGAGCTCAAACATGGACAAAAGAGCTGAATTTCACAGGTGAGGTGAGATGCCAAGGCTATGGTTGACTGAGTGTGGTAGGGCTACCAAAATTGGAGTTAATGAGTATAAGTAGGAAAGTTTGCCACCAGTTTGAGTCATATCTGCTACAAAAGAGATTGTGCAGTCTTTAAAGATCATTCATCTGAACCCAGGCATCTCTGCAGGAGTTCCTCAGCACTAGTGTCTGAGGTTCAACTATCTTCAGCTGCTTCATCAGTGTCCTTCCCTTCATTATAAGCTTAGAAGTGGGAATGTTTCCTGGTGCATGCCATTGACCAGAAACCGAACTGGGCAAGGGGAAAGCACCTGTCAATAAATGTGCAGCTGGAAATTCGCAGCAGGTCAGACAGCATCTGAGGAGCAGAGAAGTCAATGTTTCAGGTCAAAACCCTTCGTCAAGACAGGGGAGGGGGAGCCCAGAAAAAAAGTAGAGGAACGAGGTGGGGCTGGTGGGATGGAGATAGGTGGATGCAGGTAGAGGGTTATTGTGGTTGGTCAGTGGAAAGGGTGGAGCGGCTAGGTGAATAAGAAGATGGACTGCTTGGCAGTGGAAAAATTTTGAAGCTGGTGAAGTCAATATTTAGGCTATTGGGCTGTAAACTCCTGAGGCGAAATATCAGGCATTGTTCCAGCATGTACAGTGCTTACTGTCTCCTAGGCCAAAGCACTAGACTACTTTGACCTCATTAAGGCCTTCAGCAGTAGCAACTATGAGGAATTATGGAATATCCTCCTCGGTTTTGGCTGCCCCTCAAAGATTGTCGCCATCCTTCATCTGCCCCACAATGACATGCAAACTGTGATCCTAAGCAACTGAGCCATCACAGATCCAATTCCTGTTTGTGTCAGGATCAAGCAAGACTGTGACATGGCACCAGTACAGCTTTTGATCTTCCTTGCAGTGATCCACCTCACTCTCAGCAAGCTTTCCACTGGAGTGAATCTAATCTATGGAACAAACAGGGGCCTGTTCAATCTCTGCCTCTGCCACTGCCACTGCCACTGGTCTATTTCCAAGGTTGCCTCATCCTGTGTCATTGAACTACAATATGCAGACAAAGCTTGGATCTGCGCTCCGTTAGAAGCTAAGCTCCAAGCCACCACCATCACCCTCACCAAGGCATACATGAGCGTGAGCTTTACACTAAATATTCATTCCTTAACTCCGCACAAGGTTCAACTCCAAATTCACTGTGCCAGCTCAGCTTGTAGTCACCTGTCAAAGAAAATGTTTCAAGACCAGACCTCATTAATTGATATCAAGCTCATGGTTTACAGAATGGTAATAACTACCTGTCCTCCTATGTGACCCAGATGTATATGATATTAAAGCAGGCACCTCAAAATCCTGGATAGGTACCACAAACCCGTAGGTACCAATGATGTAGGCAGAGAGAGAAAAGAGGTTCTGCTGTGGTAATGTGAGCAACTAGGGGCTAAATTCAAAAGCAGAACCTGAGTAAATTGGCACAAGGTCAACAAGATGAAAGAGGTGAATGTGTGGCTCAGAGATTGAACCTGTTTCTCCCACACCAAATTCTTGGGACATTGGCACTGGGGAAGAAAGTACTGTTCCCATGGGACGGGCTCCACCCAAATCATGCTGGGACCTGAGTCTTGGTGAATTGCATAACAACTGTGGATAGGGTTTTAAACTAAATAGTGAAGGGTGGGTTCATTTGCCTGGAAATTATGGAAAAAGTTAAAGGGGTGAGGGTTCAGCAGAGGTTATTAAAGTTTCCAAAACAAATAGTGGGATAGAGAGTATGGAAAGGTCAGGAATCTAACTTTGGGCAGATGAGGGGACATCACACCTGAGAATGGGGGGGATGTTAATTCAAGACTAAGGATGATGTACTTAAAATGCACGCAGTATATGATATAAGGTAAATGAGTTTGTAGCGCAGATTGAAATTGGCAGGTACAACATTGTAGTTCCCAGCCCTGATCCCCTTGCAGGGCTGGGGACAAAATATACAAGATACATATCCTATTGATGGGTCAGGCAGATGAGCAGAGGGTTTGGGTTGCTTTGTTAGTGAGCAATGAAATTAAATCAATAGCAAGAAGCAATATAGAGTTGGAGGCCTAGAATTTATGTGGGTAGAGCTGAGGAGCCGCAAAGGGAAAAAGATCCTGATGGGAGTTGTGTACAGGCCTCCTAGCAGTAGTCAAGATGTGGGGAAGAAAATAAATCGGTAGGTAGAAAAGGCATGTAAGAACGGCATGATTACAATACTCATGGGAGACTTCAATATGCAAGTGAACTGGGAATATCGGGTTGGTAACAGATCTCAAGAAGAGGAATTCACACAATGTCTACAAGATAAGTTTTTTGGAACAACTTGCGGTAGAGCCCACTACGGAACAGACAATTCTGAATTTGCTGATGTGTAATGAGGTAGACTTGATTAGGGAGCTTAAGGTGAAGGAACCCCTAGGGGTCCAGTGACCATAGTATGATAGAATTAACCTTGCATTTCAAGAGTAAATGAAACTACAAAGACACAAGGGAGGAGCTGGCCAGAGTTGATTGAAAGAGGATCCTAGCAGGGAAGACAGTAGAGTGGCAATGGCAGGACTTTTTGGGGTAACTCGTGAGGCACAGCAGAAATTCATCCCAATGAAGAAGAAACATACTTCGGAAGGATGAGGCAACCATGGCTGACAAGGGAAGTCAGGGACAACATGAAAGCAAAAGAAAAAGCATTCAATGTGGTGAAGATTAGTGGCAAGTCCAAGGATTGAGAAGCCTTTAAAACCCAGCCAAGGATAACTTAAAAATAGCAACAAGGAGGGAGAAAATGAAATATGAGAGTAAGCTAGCTCGTGATATAAAAGAAGATTGCAAGAGTATTTTTAGATATATTAAAGGGAAGAGAGAAGCAAGAGTGGATTTTAAATGCTGGAGAAGTAGTAATGGTGAACAAAGAAATGACAGAGGAACTGAATAGGTACTTTGCTTCAATTTTCAGTGGAAGACACAGGCAGCATACTAGAAACTCAAGAGTCGGGGGCAGAGACAAGTGTAGTGCCATCGCTAAGGAGAAGGTGTGGGGAAGCTGAAAGATCTGAAGGTAGATAAATC